GAGAAAGATATTGGTCCCTGCGGTCACTGCGTTTTACATGTTTATTACATTAGCTTATTCAAATTGATCATAAGGCTTCTGTGTGTCTGAAGCTGAGCAGATGTTGGCGAGACGTGGGGCCCCTCTGTGACCTCAGCCGCATGAGAGAGATTCCAGTGATAGTGATATACTTATACCAGTTCCCCATATGGAGAAAATTAGGAATTGGACTGAAATTGAATCTTTGTAGAAATAAGAAAAGTGAAATCATATAGATCTATGAAACATGTGAACCCTTAAAACTTAAAGTATTACCACAATTAATAAATTCTTTAGTTTTAATATTGTATACTAGGTTTTGACAGTGGAGATATTTTCTATCGCGGGACAAAAATTATTATTTATCTCCATCAGCTGAAGCTATTTTTAATGATTGGACGTGTTTGGGCATATACAGTGGGTACGGAAAGTATTCAGACCCCCTTAAATTTTTCACTCTTTGTTATATTGCAGCCATTTGCTAAAATCATTTAAGTTAATTTTTTTTCCTCATTAATGTACACACAGCACCCCATATTGCAATATGTCTAATTTAGGTATATCTTAAAACTCACCTATTTGTCTTTTTTTTTTTTTGTCAGCATGCGTCATATTGAGCAGGGTAAAACGCTGGTTGAATCTTTAGAAAGAAACTTTTAAAAAAATCTAAACTTTTAAACAGTCTAAAGTTTTAGAACTGGAATAAACCTGATTAATACAAATTATACTTAAAATCAGTGAGAATATTTCTACCATAGGACGGAAGTAGAAGGGAACACTATTTAAACTTTAAAGCAATATTACACTTATAAAATAAATGTAGCACATTCAAAACGTTCACTTAGAGAAAAGTGAATTGACTAACTGAACATCTGGTCTGTATCTCCTCCCTCACGTCTCTCTGTGAGGGTCCGAAGCACTCAGACCCTCAGTTTCATAATGGACAAGGCAAGGGTCTGTGAGATTTTGTTTTTGATTCAACTTAAACTAAATGCACTTTTTATTTTTATTTTTTAAAATCACTCATCCATGTTTGGACATCACTGCGTTAAGATCTACCTCTTAGCGCTCTGAAAGACGTAAGGCTTTTTTCATATTTATTGTTACCTAAAACTAGTAAATGTTTCGCTGTGTTTTAGAGCCATGTTTATTTTTATATTGTGTTATATATAGTCACATATTCTATTTATTACCATCTTCTTAAATTAGAGAGAAGTTCTTTTATACATCTGCTTGAATGGTGTGTGTGTGTTTAATTATATTTTAAAAACATAACTATTTGTCAGGACAAAACACTGAATTTTTTTTAAAGAATCTAAAGTGTTTGAAGCAGAATAAATCTAATATAAATTAAACTTTAGGTTGAAATTTAAACAAGAACCACACTATTCTACCAAATGTTTATTTAAAATTTTAAGTAACATTATGCTTTGAAATAATTATTAACGCGGACATTCACAGAAGTTTTCTACACTCTCGCTCACCCTCTCTCAGTCTGCTTGTGTGTGTGTTGTAAGCCCTTGAACACAAGATTTGGGTGAGATTAGCTCAAGTTGTCCACATAGATAATGCACCAGGCAGGTATTTGGTGGAACAGAACTTAATTCTCTTTATTTCTCAAGGTGAGGGAGTGGGGATGGGGAAAACTGTAACTAAAGCCTTTCTTCCTTCTGTGGTTGGTTCTTGGGGCAGCAGATCAATCTCTCTGAAGGGAAGACAGAAGAGATGGAGGGTTAGTTAAAAGTGTTCAGGCTACTCACGACCCCACTGAGCTTCCGTCCTTAAGAACTTGTCCTGTCCTTGGGTTTAGGGCGATCCAGCATTCAGCATCTGCTCATCTCCCCGGCTGAGACCCTACTGAGGCCTCTCGGTTCCCTTTTATGTGGTGGTGGTTGATTGTTCCTAACAGCCTGCAGCTGAGGCTCCCTGTTAGAGGGGAAAAAGTGAACACCTGTGTTGGAGCTATCCCTGGTCCTGAACCCTCTTACTGAGTGGCCCAGCCCTTGTTGCTTCCTCTGATGGGGCTCTCCATGGTGCTGAAGGTGTTCAGTCTGCTTTGTGGGGGACCATACCTCTTTCTGGCCACCACATACCCCCCTTTCCAGCTCCAGGCTCCCGCTTGGAGCGCACGTCCCACAGCAGTCATGTCTTCTGGACATTGCATCTGCAGTCGCATGAGAATACCCAGCCCGGTGTTCCATCTTAAATTGGAAGTCCTGCAACTGAAGAAACCAACGAGTGACTCGGGCATTTTTCCCTTTGTTTTGAGACATCCATTTGAGCGGGGCATGATCAGTTATCAAGCTAAATTTCCGCCCCAACAAGTAATCTCAACAGCCCATTTGATAGCAAGGCATTCTTTTTCTATCGTGGCGTAGTTCTTCTCATGAGGAAGTAACTTACGGCTAATATACATGACTGTAGGAAGTAACTTATGGCTAATATACATGACTGGGTGTTCCATACCATCTTGTAGCTGGGACAGCACTGCTCCAACTCCTACCTCTGAGGCGTCTGTTTGTAACACAAAGGGTTCACTGAAGTTTGGGGCTTGCAGGATAGGTTCACAACAAACAGCCTGCTTCAGATCAGTGAAAGCCTGCTCCGCTTCCTTAGTCCATCTCACCTGGTTTGCCTCATGGACGGTGAGACCCCGGCAGGCCTTCTGGGCCTCCCCGGTCAGGAAAGGGAGTATTACATTAGCCCAATCAGTCCTGGGCCATCTCTCTCGCTGAGCCGTTCTCTCAAAGAGGTCGAAGTAGGCTTCAACATCGTCATCTTTAGTCATCTTAGTCAAATAATCTTGAGGCCTCCTTCCCTGGGCCTCTGTCTTTCGACAGAGTTCGGAGACTGCTGCATTCAGGGTGGTTTGGGCCTGCAGAATGGCAGTCAGGGCCTCCTCCATTTTCTTGTTGTTTTTTTGTCCTCCTAGTGCAAGGTCTGAATCACAAGCGAGGCTTCACCATGCCTGCATTCTCCACCATATGTAAGCCCTTGAACACAAGATTTGGGTGAGATTAACTCAAGTCGTCCACATAGATAATGCACCAGGCAGGTATTTGGTGGAACAGAACTTAATTCTCTTTATTTCTCAATAAGGTGAGGGAGTGGGGATGGGAAAAACTGTAACTAAAGCCTTTCTTCCTTCTGTGGTTGGTTCTTGGGGCAGCAGATCAATCTCTCTGAAGGGAAGACAGAAGAGATGGAGGGTTAGTTAAAAGTGTTCAGGCTACTCACGACCCCACTGAGCTTCCGTCCTTAAGAACTTGTCCTGTCCTTGGGTTTAGGGCGATCCAGCATTCAGCATCTGCTCATCTCCCCGGCTGAGACCCTACTGAGGCCTCTCGGTTCCCTTTTATGTGGTGGTGGTTGATTGTTCCTAACAGCCTGCAGCTGAGGCTCCCTGTTAGAGGGGAAAAAGTGAACACCTGTGTTGGAGCTATCCCTGGTCCTGAACCCTCTTACTGAGTGGCCCAGCCCTTGTTGCTTCCTCTGATGGGGCTCTCCCTGGTGCTGAAGGTGTTCAGTCTGCTTTGTGGGGGACCATACCTCTTTCTGGCCACCACAGTGTGCTGTTCCACTCCCCCCCGACAGCCTCCCATTTTCACTCTGTGAGCTAGACATGTAAAAAACTCTGCACTCTTGAGATTTTATAATTCAGCTTCAACTATTTGCAAACCTTTTATTCGACGCACTGCTGCCATTGTGTAAAGATGTAATTTCTCAACCTCCCTGAAAAATGTAAGTAATTTTTTTCATTATGCTCAAAGTTTTAATTTTTATTGATTTATTTTATTCATTAAGCTAAGTTTAATTCTTTATTTTCATTTCATTATAACGCTGAGAATCAAAAAACAGAATATGTCTGTGTGTGTGTGAGAGAGAGAGTTATTTTTATTTTATAGTATTTTTAAATTTATTTTCTCATTTATTGTCTCCTTTTTTACTTTGGTGGTGGTCACAGGTCAACCTCGGTAATCCATCTATATTAAAACAGATGGCATAGCACATCTGGGCTGCATTCCAGTTCACTTTTAGACAGGCACTCGTGAACGTCCCTAAGCACTTCCCCTCGGGGGAATCCCCGCCGCCATTTTGAAGTGCGTTCCACTTCGTCAAGTGGACGAGGGAAGTTTACATGGACATACCCTCGACCCCTCGATTTTGACTGAGGGAGTCTGCTTCATATGCACACATCAGGCCGCGCTGTAGACCACAATGCAACAAGACTATGACGTCATCGCAGATCACGTTTAATTTATCCCCACCCCAAATAACTCTATAATATATAAATGATTTATTTTACATTTATAACAGCCCAAGAATATCTATATACATATAGAAAGCTGCACCAAACAAATTCGTAAGGGGAAACATATGTAAACAATAAACCAACTCCATAGCGGATTCTAAGTGATCAAGGGCTTAGGACGTTCCAATTCAGCCCATTCCAAGGGTTCCGCCAGTAGTGGGCACTCATTCAACATAATCAATGACGTACATCCAAGAAAACGAGACGGAGGGAAGTTAGCGAGTGAAGGGCATAAAAAAGTGAACTTTAATGCAGCCCTGGAGATCATTAAAAGGTCAGAGGTTAAGAGGGAGGGGCTAAAGGTCAAAGGTCATCCATCAAATATTTTGACATATAGTCCAGAGTCCGGACCTAGTTACTATTTCCGTATTAAAGCACGGTTTTACAACAACAAAATGAAAATAATAAACAAAATTAAATTCTGCAAAAATTGAATGTAAAATCATCCAAAGAAGTCAAAGTCAGTCCTAAAATGGGCCACACTGAAAAACCTATTTACATTTATTTTTGGATTTGACTGATAAATGCAGATTGCTTTAAAATGAGTTCTTCATGTTGAATGAAATGCATCAATACAAATTCACGTAAACATTGAGAAACAAAAAAAAAACATACACAAAAATATGAACTATTTACAAAAATTCCACATTTTATTTTAAGTGTTAACATCTCATCAAACTGAAATTACACATGCAACATGATTTTTAATCTATATAAAAAAAGGAGCAAAGCCCTCATTCCACTAAGTTGCAGGAAAATTCACATTTGTTCTATTTTATTGCTTTGATAGAGGGGTGAGTTAGTTTTGAACCCCCTCAGGACCCCTTTTACCCCAAACCTTTACATGGATAAAACTCCAAATGTATGATGAAAAACAAAAAAAATAACACCCAACAGACTAGTCACGTAAAATCATAAGGTGTGTGCACAGACACTCACGGAGCACACACACAAAAACAAGCTAAACAAACATAGAAGTCCAGCTCTGTGACCTGTGAGAGTCCACTGAAGATCTCCATAGCAGACCCCACCGCTCATGACCTGTGGAAGTGTGGAGGTCTGATTCGTGATGATTAGGTGTTGATTTCTGCACATCTTCAGGAGAACTGGAGCTGTTGCACACCTGGGATCTACATCAGATGAAACACAGTTAAAAGCATCACTCAAAATGCTTGAAAGTGAAGACTAAAGTGTGCTATCTTAGTGTGATTCTGACCTGCTGATAGGAGGTGGTGTACACCATCACATTTTGTTGCTGTCCATCAGCTGTTATGATTCCTGCAGGTAGTGGATTTGCTGAGAGAGAAAAAGATTTTATTGTGCTGAGTAGTCACACAGTAAACTGGAGCTTATGTCAAAAAGATTTATGGCTTTGACCTTTTGACCTTTCCCCTCCCCCACTTAGCCTTTTGACCTTACCCCTCCCCCACCACATGGCCCACCCACGTCGCAACCTTGAGACCACCCACGTCCTGCTGACCCCGTGACCTATTAATGATATCCAGATGTGGAAATCGCATATGTGGAATTCCGATGTCGACCTGTGACCTCCGAGAGAGAAATATGTTTGTACAACTCTGTCTGGTCAAAATAGATAAACAATTTTAACAGATCATGAGAACATATCACAATATGTGTGTGCGTGTACACACATACAATATGATTACTGTATAAAACGATTCTCAGCATTATAAAAAAAAAGGATTTAAATAACACACCTAATAATGAAATTGAAAATAAATCAATAAATAAAGAAATGGATAAAAATCCCCTTACAGTTTTCAAATTGTGCTTAGTTTAGGTTGGAAAAGCTCCTCTGTCTCTCTTTCTCTCTCTCACGTTACAAAGTTATACAAATTGTAGGATCTCGGTCTCGAACAGACCCAAATAACTATGGAATCTTTATATTCCAAAGGAAAACCAAAAGTTCTCCTACTCAGAATAATAAACAAAATTAAATTCAGCAAAAATTGAATGTAAAATCATCCAAAGAAGTCAAAGTCAGTCCTAAAATGGGACACACTGAAAAACCTATTTACATTTATTTTTGGATTTGACTGATAAATGCAGATTGCTTTAAAATGAGTTCTTCATGTTGAATGAAATGCATCAATACAAATTCACGTAAACATTGAGAAACAAAAAAAAAACATACACAAAAATATGAACTATTTACAAAAATTCCACATTTTATTTTAAGTGTTAACATCTCATCAAACTGAAATTACACATGCAACATGATTTTTAATCTATATAAAAAAAGGAGCAAAGCCCTCATTCCACTAAGTTGCAGGAAAATTCACATTTGTTCTATTTTATTGCTTTGATAGAGGGGTGAGTTAGTTTTGAACCCCCTCAGGACCCCTTTTACCCCAAACCTTTACATGGATAAAACTCCAAATGTATGATGAAAAACAAAAAAAATAACACCCAACAGACTAGTCACGTAAAATCATAAGGTGTGTGCACAGACACTCACGGAGCACACACACAAAAACAAGCTAAACAAACATAGAAGTCCAGCTCTGTGACCTGTGAGAGTCCACTGAAGATCTCCATAGCAGACCCCACCGCTCATGACCTGTGGAAGTGTGGAGGTCTGATTCGTGATGATTAGGTGTTGATTTCTGCACATCTTCAGGAGAACTGGAGCTGTTGCACACCTGGGATCTACATCAGATGAAACACAGTTAAAAGCATCACTCAAAATGCTTGAAAGTGAAGACTAAAGTGTGCTATCTTAGTGTGATTCTGACCTGCTGATAGGAGGTGGTGTACACCATCACATTTTGTTGCTGTCCATCAGCTGTTATGATTCCTGCAGGTAGTGGATTTGCTGAGAGAGAAAAAGATTTTATTGTGCTGAGTAGTCACACAGTAAACTGGAGCTTATGTCAAAAAGATTTATGGCTTTGACCTTTTGACCTTTCCCCTCCCCCACTTAGCCTTTTGACCTTACCCCTCCCCCACCACATGGCCCACCCACGTCGCAACCTTGAGACCACCCACGTCCTGCTGACCCCGTGACCTATTAATGATATCCAGATGTGGAAATCGCATATGTGGAATTCCGATGTCGACCTGTGACCTCCGAGAGAGAAATATGTTTGTACAACTCTGTCTGGTCAAAATAGATAAACAATTTTAACAGATCATGAGAACATATCACAATATGTGTGTGCGTGTACACACATACAATATGATTACTGTATAAAACGATTCTCAGCATTATAAAAAAAAAGGATTTAAATAACACACCTAATAATGAAATTGAAAATAAATCAATAAATAAAGAAATGGATAAAAATCCCCTTACAGTTTTCAAATTGTGCTTAGTTTAGGTTGGAAAAGCTCCTCTGTCTCTCTTTCTCTCTCTCACGTTACAAAGTTATACAAATTGTAGGATCTCGGTCTCGAACAGACCCAAATAACTATGGAATCTTTATATTCCAAAGGAAAACCAAAAGTTCTCCTACTCAGCCATCTGCGGTCGTAAAACTGATCAATGGTTAACCGAGGTGCCCAATTGTCTCGAGCAGTTCTTGTCCCACTCTGCTCATCTTCTCAAGAGACATCTAAAGCAGTGATAGACTTAATCCAATCAAAAGAAGAAGAAAACCCCTTTTGTTTTAGAGTCATGTCAGCCACAAATGGTTGATTGTCCCCTGGTGACCAAGCTTCATGTACGACAGGAAGGGAGTAATTTAGCAAACAAGCTCCAGGCCTGCAAAAACAACGGATCTAAAGAACAGTGACAATCAACCTCTGTATTATTGCAAACTCAGACTCTCTCAGACGAACTTCAAGGCTCCTCCGTAACCAAGCAACGCCTATTCACCCCGAGGGCTCTCCCAAAAAGACGTCATCCAAACGACAGATCGGCAACCAATCAGAGGCTCCGGGGTTCCTTGGGACGAGCCAACGAGGAAAACCCCTCTTAGCTCTCAACTCAAAGGCAAGTAACTCAAAGTCTCCTTACTAGCTGGAAAACTGGTGCTGAATTGATCTCAAAGTCCCCCGTAGTCAAATATTTTATCCCTTAAAACGTATCTCTGATCATCAAAATGACATATTTAAATGTTTTTTCTTGTGAAAATTATTTTCTCATGCCTTAAAATAGCTTGAATGTAACTCAACACCCTTGCCTCATTTACTATACGCTGATCTATGAATATGCCAATTAGTCCCGCCTACACTCAGTCACACCAGCCAGCGCCTCCTGATCCACTGAACTGTAGTAAACGCAAAACAATGGTATACACGGATAATGACTGATAAAACTATCTTTTTACTAGCGGACAACTACAGTGAATACTGTAACATTCGTTAAAGTGAACTCCGTTACCTCTCATCCTTCGAACTGTATGTGTGTGTGTGTGTGTGTGTGTGCGTTTTCATTAATTTAGTACCATGTAATCTATAGAGTAGCTCAAATAAATTCATGTTCCATTATAAAGAATCATTGTCTTGTGTTGTGTAATTTAAAGTTAAAACTTTGCCCTCAGAATTGGTAAGATACACTAAATTCTACTAGACGCTGGATGAATAGTTGATGAAGTGTAAGCTATACATTTTGAATCAGTTTAATCAGGTTGACTTTGAATCTTCAGATTCGAATTCCCCTCTCAAAAGAGTTCCTTACAAAATAAACATGAATTTAATTGAATTGAATTATGTATATGGAAAGTACGGTGGCCGTGAAGTGCAAAGCAAATCACAATTCTGAAAACAAAATAACAAATTACAAACGCAAATGCAAGTCTAAAAAACAAAATAACAATTCAGAAAGCACAACAACAATTCAGAAAACATTATAACAAGTCAGAAAACACAATGACAAATTCGAAAACAAAATAACAAGTCAGAAAACACAAAGACAAATCCGAAAACAAATTAACAAATCAGAAAACACAACGACAAATCCGAAAACAAAATAACAAGTCA